TGGTATCATACACATACATGTATATGCAAAGTACACTGTACGTTGTGAGAGCATATTTTTAGTCTCATGCATACATCCAATACATTTGATTTTATAACAATACACTAAAATCAGGTACATGTATTTTGATATGTCTGAAACCAGATCCCGGGCATGTGTTGGTTATTTCAAACTAGGTGGATGGATTGACCATTAAGGGTTGTTGATCCACATAACTTTGATTTGTAAATTTGACTCAAGATGGCTGACTGGTGGCCATTTTGTTTTTGACAAAGTCTATTTCAGATACTGTAAAATACATTATTTTAACTGAATTAATTTTTGCTGAAAAGTCTTTTAGGGTGTTTTGTATGGAATTTATTTTCACTGATTCTTGATCAGTTAAATGTGAAATATAGGAAAAAAAGTATATTCGCTGGATTTTATTTTCTAAAAATAGCAAAAATAAGTTTTACAAGTATTTTACAGTATACATCTCAACATGCTTTGAGCAAATCATATATTCTTAGATTTTACATCATTGCATACTTACATACAATAGTTTAGTTATATGATACAAAAACACACACAACAATCAGGTGATATGTCCAGAACCAGATCTTAGGCATGTGAGTTTAAATTTCTTAGAACTTGGTGGAAGGAGTTACCATTACTGGGGGATTGATGCATATCACTTTGGTTTTCCTACTCAAGATGGCTGACTCGATCCATCTATCAGGTCACGCAAGTACTGCAATATCATAAACTTTTTACATACCCGGTATGTGCAATTCATGAAGTTATAAAATATCAATGTGAAAATGTTTAGAGCTAAATTAATTTTAAATATTGCTTTGAGATTAAGCAAAAATAAAGTGTGTGCTTGCTTTGGTCATTTTGTGAGTCACAATGATTATGAATAGAATTTGTTTTTTTCTTGCTATACATGTATCTGTGATATCAATCATTGTCTCATCATAACACCTGTATCTCCATAGTGAAAAATACCATGAAATACAGGTTTTCACTGTTTATTCTACGTTTCACACCAAAACTACTCTTATTATTTATTAACTTAAGAAAAAAAAAACAAAATTAAGTACACAATGTTGACTGTGCATTGCAAAATGCTCATATCATAATCTTTTCTAATTTTCATGTGAAATAAACTGAAACTATAAAGTTATTGACGTGAAATATTCCAACAAATCATTTTTATTTATCCTGCAGCATATTTACTTTAATGAAACCATGAATGATAAAAGAGTTATTACGACAAGCTAATGTACAAGATTAGATTTATAATATACTAGTACATCTTATTGTATATAAATTTTAATTTTTCACAAAGACAAATTGTTGTTCGTCCTGAAAACTCGCATTTGTTTTGTTTTCAAGACAAGAATATACTCTGATCGACTTTATGTAAAATTTTTGAAATCTGTATTCAATGACCTTTTATCATCAAATTGTAAATATTTCTAGCGACACAAATATAACTTTGTTTTATCGTATGATAGATTCCCTTGCAGCTGTTTTCAGATGTTTTGAGATAGATTGATGTCCATCGATAAACACAGTGATCACTATTTTTAATATGTGTGTTTATAGACATATCTCATAAAAATAAATGAACATTGCATTAGATTCCTGTGTTGTATCTTCACACGTTAGTGAGTTGGAAGTCACTTTATATAATCACCTCTGATTAGCTAGCTTTTGTACTGTATACAAAGACTAATTTACAAACTATACAAATGTGTCCTTGACTATAGTGAAATCTAATGCGCTTTGCAGTGAACACATTTTGAGTTAATATCCTGTGTCCTTTGGTTCATTTTGATTCAATAATAATTCTTGGGATGTTGAGAATAGACATTTCTCCTTGGTGACTGATGTACATTGTAGAGAGCTGTAAACTTCATTTCTCCTACCATAATACAAATATAGGCTCATTTAAATGTTTGATATTAAAGGATATTGGTAATCTGTTACTAATGGCATAACAAAAAGTGCATTATTGCCCAATTGTTGAATAGGCTATTATCATGTTGAAAGGAAAAGTCAAATATTTGACAAACAGTATACATAGTGGCAGTGCCAAGCACAACTTAACATTTAAGTAGCTTTTTACTGACATCACTATATTGTACAGTAAAATGAGTCATCTGACTTAATATATCTCATGAACAAGTTTTTATGAAAATGCATAGCCAGCTTGGGACTTGTGTTATGTTTGGCAAAATATAGTACTATGTGGTTATTACAAGGATACCTCAAAATATGCAAGAAGACACCGACGTGCAGCGGAGGTCGATGCGACGGTGTACTGTCATTTCCTTGTATGGTAGGATGAAAATACCGCAAAATTACGGCACGCTGTAACTTGTGGCGTTACGGTGACAGATGTATAATAATGTTATATAATGTAACTACTGTTTGTCAATATATTACATACACACGAAGATTCATTTTACAAGTTATGTGATTTGTAAATCTTGATACAAATGATGTGACTTTTGGGAGATGGTCACAAAATAGCCAAAACATACTTTTCTAAAAAAAACTCTAAACGAGTACGTTTGTGAAAGTATGCAATATTGTTCATCTTTGACTGTTTTTCTCTCATGTCCTTGCTTATTGGTAATGTGTGTGCAGTTTATCTTTTTGAATGCAGTAACAACCTAACTCTAACCTAAATTTTTCCAAGTGTCCACTGCGTTGTTTGATTTGTTAAAATGCATTTGATTGGTACGTGCATGAAACTTTATTACTTCTTAAAGGCCCAGGTATATTATAAATACACTCCTAAACAATTATTTTCTTGCTTGACACGCTGTAGTA